AATTCTATTACAAATTGATAGGAGATCAAGCAAAAGAAAGAAAAGTTTTAACACCCGTACGTAACAAACAGACAAAAAATCAAGCTAGACGACGATTACCAAGATGGTTAAACCGAGAATTTAAATCGATAATTAAACAAGAGTATAATCTCGAAGACGTACAAAGACGAATCAAATTTCATGATCCAACTCTTTACGAAGAGTTTTTGCAAGCAGTAGTGTCTATTTTAACGGAATGTGAAAGATACAAGATGAAAAAAACAAATCATGTTTATGTAAAGTATCAAAAGATGCGTGATGATATTTTTAAAGCAGAAGACAAGAATCAATTAGTAAAAAATTTAGCAACATCAGCGCACTTTCACAAATTTGATCCATATTTGTTTCGTTACAAACCAAAATTAATTCGACCAATATTCATATTAGAAATGTATTTTAAAGAACTTTCAGAGCAAATTAGTGTTGAAAGACGTAAAGTTTTAAAAAAATTAATAAAATAATTCAATAAATTTTATTAAAGAAAATAAACACAGTGTAATTTTCTTTGTTCAAGAAGTGTGTTTGAAACTAAATTTTTAGTTTCAAACACACTTCGTGAACAGAGAAAATCAATCAGAAAACAAACAGCCTAGCTGTCTATTCTCTTTACATTTCTCTCTTTTTAATCTTAGTTGCAAGCAGTTCATCTGCAATTCTATATACATTTTCGACTGCTTTTTCTATATTGTGATTATAAGTATCTATTTTAAAATTCGTCTCAACTTCTCGTGTGAGAAGGTCAACATTTATATAATGCACATTTTGCATGTAGTAAAACATGATAAAGACAATAAAAAGTAAAATAAAAATAATCTTTTTAAAATCAGAGTTTGTTTTTTCTAAAGAAGATATTTTCTCCTCAATATATTGGTATGTTTCATTTGCAACTTGTTCTGACAAATGATTTCTTAACTCTAAAAATAGAATATATATTAACAAAGTAATAAATTTAACAACATTAGTATTTCAACTTACCTTCATTAGAATTTGTGACTTCTTCTAAAGTTATTGTTTCAATTTGTTCAACAATAGGTTGAAAAGCCATGTTAGATTTATTTTTTGTTGTAAGAATTTGAGATAGAAATAAGTAAAAAATTGCTAGTTTTTATTAACCTTGAGTTATTCTTAAAGAAGCATTAGGCGTTTCTCTGATAGCATCTTCATATGCTGGTGGAGTATCTACTATGTTGTCAATCTCGACTTCTAAGCTTGAAGATCGAGTTAAAATTGTAATCCTTTCTGGATTTTCCATATTAATTTCAAGAGTATATTGTAGAATGACAGGTATTGAGATGATAAGAAAAAATATAGTTAAGAACATGTAAAAAATTGGATTTGTACGGTACAAAACAGTATTTTTTTTATAGCAATCTACGTCTGTTATCAGTAGATCATAATCAAAACATATTAGGGTATTGTTTGTCGCTCCAAATTTAGGTTGAATGGAAGGATTGGATGAGCGTATTTGGACGCATGAGGCTTACATATGACCGCATCATCACACATGTTTATCGGATAACAGTATCAATTAACTAAATCAAGACTCATTCTGTTTGATTATTTTCATTCATTTTCTTTGTTAATCAGATAAGAAAAAGTCTAAATCTGGATTCATTCTTGGTCAGAAACATCGCATGATTGTATCAATTGAT